ATAATTTTTTTGATTATTCAGAAAATGCCGCTTCGCGGCATTCTCTGATCAAAAAAATTATCACTGTACCAACGTGACGTTATCTCATATTATCATACTATATTATATAAATATTATATACTTAATATTAAGTAAGGGATAAGTCATTGGTCATTATTACTTACAAAATTACCATCCATATTTTTGATGGTCTTCGGAAATTTACATAGCGATAGAAATACATACGATTATCATGGTTCATGTCGTCACGAATTTGATCATCAAAAAAATAAATAATGCTTATCGTTATGTACGTACGTACTAGGAAACGGAAACCGTTATAAGTCCGGAGCGAAATCACATGTTTGGTGTAGTGCAGCAGACAGAGAATTCAAATTTACGTTTTTGATATTTTTATTAATAATGAATCAAAAACTGACTTCGCGTAGAAATTGAGACGCTCCGGACGATTACAGGATTGACATGCAGCCTAATTTGATTAGATTTTTTATAAAAAAAAAATTTACGTATTCACTCGATAGTTTTAGTTTAAAAAAAAAAAATGACAATAATTTCAGAAACAATAAAGGGAATAAAGGGTGTAATAACAGATAATTCTGTTGTAATTAAAGGAACAGCAACAAAATACATTTCACCTCAAAAATTAAACCATATAAAAAGGCAATATAAACCATCAGATTTTAAACCAACATTTAAATATATCAATTTATGGGGTAAAGCAAGATGGAAAGCACCAAAAGTTAGCAGTAGAAAATTAGCTGATATGAGAAAAAATTGTGAGTATTTAGGCGTTGATCCTACTAGTATTGGATTACCACCTAAACCCGAAAAGAAACCACCTAGAAGTAAACCTCGTAAAGGTGCTAAATACGAAAGGAATGCTCCTGAAAGGTATTATCATATTAATAAAACACAATTACACAGTTTATATAATAAGATACTTGTAACGAAATTAAATTTCATAACACAGAAAAGCAAAAATTGCAAAAGCTTTAGAAGAAATGCCACAAACTATCGCAGCCTGGAGACTGGTACGCATAAAAAAAAACCTTTTGATCAAAATTTCAGAATGATTAATTGGAATTCGAAATCTAAATTTATAGGAAAAACTTAAGGAAAAAGAGAAAAATAAGCCATCTCTTCCGTTTTAGACTAATAAATAATAAAGATTGCTAGTTGTAATAATTCATTTCAGGATCTAAGTCCTATAAAATGTATTGTGTTTTCATGTGATTTAAGGACCGAATTCTTCAAGTCCTTACCGATCCTTTCAAGGTTTCGGTTGGGGCTAGGGTGTCTGGCACGCCAAAAAAATTTGGCATGCCACAAGGCATGCCTTTTGTTAAAATTTGTGCCATGGCATGCC